CCAGATACAGCAGTCAAACAACCCTAACAGGAAAGGACCGAGGGTTCATTGGGTGTGACCTTTCCTTGATGAAGTGATGGTGGTCTTTTATGATAAGCACATGCTTTTCTAGATGCTTGCTAGCCAGACAGCTTGGGAGAGGGTCAGGGAGGGGAAATTGCTGGGCTTGGAGGCAGTCGTGAGTTTAAATCCTGCTTCAGACATTTAAAAGCTGTGGGTGATCATGAGTAAAACATAATAACTTCTCTTAGCTTTATTTTCCTTATCTATAAAATGAGAGATAACCTCTAAGGTCCTTTCCAGCTCCAAATCTATAATAAAATGTTCTAAGATTTTGCTAGGAATCCAAGTCAATCTAAGATTTCATTATCTTCCCCATTCAAAAAAAAATGGATAACATTTATCCTTTTTCAATTCTGTTTTCTGTGATCTTTCTAAAATCACAAAGAGTGGCTTCACAGACATTTACCAGTTCTTATAGTGGCCCAGGATGAGCTTATCCTGGGCTTAGTGACTTGAAATCATTAAAGGCTTCTAGGTATTTCAGATAGCTCTTTTCCTGTCTCCATCCTTAATCTTTCTGTTTCAACTCATTAATTGTTTTAGTTCTTTCCCTTCATCCAAAAATCCTTTTCTTTGAGAAAACAGAAGCAAAATGGGAATTGAGCAGCTCTGCTTTCTGTGTGTCATCTATTATTGTTCCATCTGTTCCAAGCAGCTATCCTGTCCTTTCTTTGATCTTTTTCTTGAGGATAACTTTTTAAAAATTATTTTGTTGTCTTTAGCATTTCTGCTTAGCCTCAGCTCATTCTAAGCATTAGTGCTCATGACACTATTCTTAGAAGAATAGATCATGCTTTTATATTCATCCTCCACTATTTGCCCCTCCATCTTTTCTATATGTATTTTTAGAATTTAAATTAATTCATGATTCTCCTATATGTCTGTCCATACTGATTTGTTTAAACAACCTCCCCCACAATTTTTCTTCCTAAATAAAATTGCTTCCTTTTTTTTTTTGTCTTCAAAACTTCATTGTAGAAATTTCCCATCCTAACTTGGGATGCTACCTCTTCTTTCTTTGGACCACTTGGAATAAACTTCTCAAATCTAGGGTGCATGTCAGGCTATACCTGATTCTCCTCCATCACAAAATTTAAGATAGAATGGTGTGGTCAGTCACTTCCTCTCAGGGTTACCATTATTTCCATCTTGGCTTCTAGCTTCTCCTTGTAAGTGAGAAACAGATCCAGAATGTAATTTCCCCTTGCTGATTCCTTCACATTTTGAAGGATTAAATTATCATTAAACTAGTCAAGAAATTCTTAGCTGCTCTGCTTTGGGCAGAAAGCTCTAGATTTTATAATAAATGAAATTTCCCCCATGACTATGGTATCATGCCTCTGTGTCAGGCCTGGGACCTTTCTAAACTCATCATCTATGTCCTCTTTCTGTTCAGATGTTTTGTAATATATGCCAATGAAAATATCATTTCTGTTTCTGCTTTTGTTTTTCTCACAAATGTTAGCTAGCTTGTGGAATTCACTCTCTGGCTTGTGGACTTCTTTATATGAGTATGTTTTCTAAATGTACAATTCTTTTCTGTGCCCTCCTCCTTTTGCCTATGTTATACTTTTTGAATAATACCTACCTTCCCAGGAGCATATTTCGGTCCTGGGTCTCCTTTGACCACATTTCGGTGATGCCTTTGAAGTCAAATATGCCTCCTTGTGATAGCATCTCTAGTCCATTTTCCTTGTTACCCAAGATTTGTGTTTTTTAATTTTGATGTTCAAGGTGATGGATTTTATTGCATAGATCCCATCTTGAATTTTGTCTGATGCAATTTTATTGTTATCTTTCCTGTTACTTTCACCACTGTAGCCTTTTTCAGTGTTATCTAGCCTGGTGGCATATTGCTGTCAGTAGGCATCTTCCTTCCTCCACATTCCCTTTCAACTTGGACTAGATTGCAAACTCCAGACAAATACATGCTCACCAGTCCTTAAGTGGTTAAGTGGACTCTCTCCATAGCCAGGGATATCTCCTTCCTATATCTTAAGCCATAGTCTAGGAGTAAAAGTAAAAAGGAACAAAAGAGAAGGATAGAACATCTTATGGTACTGTGGAAAGAGAAGTTGATGGAGATCCAGAGACCCTGGGCATAAATCCCATCTCTGTAACTTGTTCTCTTTGTGACCTCACAAGATTCACTTAACCTCTCTGGATCTCATTATTCTCATCTGTAAAATAAGGGGCTTAGACCAAGTAATCACTCATTTTCTTTCCAATTCTAAATCCTACCACTTATGTTAATAAAAGAAGACAACCTTATAGTGAGTATTTTTTTTCCTTTATGGGTCACCCTGTTTCTCAGTTCCATTCTGAAGCTAGTATTAGAAGACACATTAAGCCCTAGTAGAAGACTTATTCCTTAGATAATACTGAATACCTTAGATATCACTTGATAATACCTGAAGTAAATTTCAGTATAATAATAAATGTTGGTAACAGCATGGAAAGCAGCACCATCACCCAAATATTAATTCTTTACCCACTGAAAACTGTCAGAGTGCCATTAGAACATTTATTAAACACTTAACATATCACTGTGCCAGGTGCTGGGGATACAAATATAAGCAAGTAAGCCATTCCCTGCCCTCAAGTAGCTTATATTCTAATGAGGAAAGACATACGTGAAATTAGAGCAGGAAAGAGATAGACGGCATGGGGCGGAGATGAGCAGAAAGTGGCATAGAGGCTTGGTTCTGGGCAAGATAAGATGAAAGTTCACCTTAATTTCAAATCACTCTGTTTGCCTCAGTTTCCTCAACTGTAAAATAGGGATAACAATAGCAACTATATCACAAGGTTGTTGTCAGGATCAAATGAGATAATATTTGTAAAAAGTGCTTAGCAAAATGCCTGGCATACAGTGGGCACTAGGTGCCCACTTACTCCCTTCCTTTCCTCTTCCTGTATCAAGGACCTGTTATCTCAGGATGCTGGGTGGGAGGGAGATGAGGATGCTGGTTAGATTGAGGCAACATAGTGAGGAAGTGGGCGGGAATTTAAGGACTGTGATGTGATTGATATAAGCAGTACAGAGCTTGGGGATACTCATTGGAATAGAAACTTGATCCTGGTTAAAAGCTATTCCAACAATTTAGGGCATCATTGGGCACCTCCACGTTCTGTACATTCCTAAACTTCACCAGTGGTACAACAGACTAGTTTCATCATTTAGTAGGAATCAGAAAATCCAAAATCTGATTGTGAAGCAAGTTTCTTTCTTTCATGGTAGTGCCTAAGAGTCTCAGACTTTTTTTTTTTTTTTGCCATCAAATCAGGACATTCTACCACTGATCACATTTATCAGGCTAATCAAAGGTTTGCTTCCTGGATATAGAAGGATGAGACAAAGTTTAGCCATGGAACAGACTACATTCCTTAGGATGGTTCTTATTATAATGTTGTTTTGTTATATCATCCTGCAGCTGTTGGACACATGAACATTCTGGAACATTGCAGATTGTAGGTGATTGAGGGAAGACAATTGGAATAAAAGGGACCCTGCCCAGTGAAAGGGTTGAGATTGTTCTTGGAAAAGACAGCCCAGTCTCAGCCCTCTGCCATTCCCCCACCTCTCACCCCAACAGTAGAGAAATAAAATGACTTTCCCTTATTTTGTAACAGTTAGGTCTGGCCAGGGAACCTGGGCGAAATGATTTTCTTTCCAACATGAAAATGGTTTAGTGGAAAGAACATCAGATTTTAAGTCAGAAGACCCAATTTTGAACTTAAACTCTCCCTCTTGAAGGTGTGACCAAAGACAAGTCATTTCACCGTTGTGGGGTTAATGTGGGAGTCAGAGTACATGATCTCTAAGGTTGCTTTTCAGCTCTAACCTGTGATGTGCACTAACATGAATTTAAAGTACTACAGCCTTCTGCTAAAGGACACCATGTTATTATTGTTGTGAAGGTACCTAGCCTCCCTAGGGAAGGAGGAGGCACCTTGCATTGCTCACCGGATTCAGCCAGCCTGGAGTCACCCTTCGATCTTCCCACTCGCTCCTCAGGCAGTTGCCCAGAGTCTGTCGGTTATACTTCCACAGCACATCTCATGTCCTTGCCCTTCTCCTTCCTGCCCTAGGACAGTCAGGTGCTCATCTTCTCCTGCCTAGACCTTTGCAATAGTCCCAATACGCCTCATTGGTTTCCCTGCCTCCAGCAGCTCATCCTTCACACAGCCGCCCAATTGATATTCCCACAGGTTTGTTATGTCCCTCCACTGCTCGAGAAGCTTCGGGCATTCTTTCTTGAGAGTAGAATAAATGTAGATAAAATAGAATAAAATCCTGGACTTCTCAGTTTGACTTTTAACAGCCTTTCCAGTCCAGCTGTAGTCACCCTTTCCAGACATCCTGCACATTCCTCTGTGTTCCGGCCAACTCGGCCTTTGTGCCGTTGGTATTCCATCTCTTGTCTTTGGGAAGGAGAGCCTAGGTCTGGAATTTGTTGCTTCCTCACTTCGGCTCAGAGGATCACGAGCTTCCTTCGAAACTCAGCTCACATTCTACCTCCTGCAGGAAGGCTGACTGATTAAGCCCAGCTGGTGGTAGTCCTCCCCCCAATTACTTTGGCTGTATTTTGTCCTTAATTCTCTTTGCACATGTCATTCCCCCCAAGTTCCCAATTATCCTCCCCCAAATAGACTGTAAGTTCCTGGAGAGCAGGTTTTTTGTCTTTGTATTCTCCAGTGCCTGATACCTAGTAGGCGTTTAATAAATGTTCACTGAATTGAAATTCCTTCAGTTTGACAAAACATCTGGCACCAGAAAAACGAATGTCATTTTAGTGGAATCATTTTTCTGTTTTTACTGTTCCACACTAGGGTGGTTCAGAAAACAAGCCAAATAACCAATTTCTGTTTAGAAAGTTGATTTGCTTGCTTTGAAATGAAAATGAAACTAAATTGCATTACATTTTTTTTTCCAGCATGCTACAAATGAAAACTGATGAGAATCAGGGTTTGTCTGACATGAACACAGCAAGTAGTCCTTTGAAGCCCGTTAAGATGTGCCTTAATCAGCCCACTGAGTGGAATCTAAGTCTCCCAGCCCCACCTCTGGCCAGCCGGCCAGCTCGGAACCACGAGCTCCCCAGTGAAGAGAACAACTAGGCTGCAGAAGCGTTCTTGCACTATCCCCTTTTGTACATCGACATTATTTCTGCCGAACGATAAGCATTTCTTGTTCTTGAAATATTTCCAATCTTGTGATTTGTCTTTATATTAAATCACTAGCATTATTCATTTGATTTACTCTTTGCATATTTTTATATGTTTTGCACCTGACCATCGTGGAATTTTGCAGTACAAATGGAACTTGATGTTTCTCTTTTAATAGTATTTTGTGACTTTTCTATGTCCTTTTGAGTTTAAATATATGATTTTGTCTCTGTTTTGTTTTGTGCACAAAGTTTTAATATATAAATGTAATATGTGACTTGGAGAGCAAATATTTTAAAGGTTTGTGCTGATGACCTGATCCGTACATGATTTTGTAGCAGTTGGATGCCAATAATAATGATGATGATGATGATGATAATGATAATCATGACTTAAATTTATAAAGCGCTTTAAGGTTTGCAAAGTGCTTTACATACATTATTTCATCTGATTACCTACCAACTACCTCGAAGCAAAGCAGTAAAAGGCAAGACAAAGATGTCTCCCCAAGGAAATCTCCTTCAGTCATTTCGTGTGTATGGGAAAGTCATTCACAATATATCATCCATTCACGTAGTTCCTTTTATGAGTGGCTTTGACTCATTTGATTTCAGTCGACTCACCGTCTTCCTCTCGAGTTTTTTGCTTAGGTTCTGAAAATGGCAAATCTATGAAAAAAAATGTCTATGGATTCAGTTTCAAGGTTGTCATTCAGCCAACTTCGGGCTGCCCTTTGCGTGGGCAGATGGATCATTGTCACCATTTAGAGGGACAGTTTCACATGGTTTCCCAGCAGCTCTCCCTCCGTTCTAAACGGAGATTGACATGACAGCATGTAAGAGGTGGTCTTCTAAAAACAAGGCAGTGATTTTTGCTAGCTCTCTTCCTAAAGCCCAAATACAGCCTGTGCAGTCATCATGTGATTATTCAGTTTGGGTTGAGTTGTTTTGTTCTTTGGTCCAGACCTCAGATTTCATCAAAGCTTTTGGTGTAGAAACAATCTCTACCAATGCAGAGGCCAACTTTATAACAGTCTCAGAGCAGGGACTCTGACCTTTTTGTTGTTCTTAACCTTTGACAGGCTAGTGAATAATGTTTCCAAATGCATAAAATAAAATACATAGGACTACAAAGGAAATCAATTCTATTGAAATAAAGATGTATTTTTTCCCATACAATTTCCCAGATCCCTTGAAATCTCTTCACATCCCTGTCTTAGAGAGCTGCCTGGTCCCTTAGAAGTTATGGTCACACAGCTAGTATGTGTCAGAGGAGGGACTTGAATCCAGGTTTTCCTGACTCACAGTCCAATCCTTTATCCATTAGGCCATGCTATTTCTCAGTGGTTTTGTGATACTATTTAAGTAAAAAAGTACCATGCTTTTTGTGCTTCACTTTGTTTTACAAAAGTCTTCTCTCATTGATCTGGACCAGAGAAAAGCATTGGTGCTGATACCAACCAAGGTGGATCTAGGCCATGGATCCTTTCCATTTGGACAGTCCAGCAACTGGGTAATTGGGAGGTAAAAACAAAACACTTTTCTTAACAGTATATTTCAAATGTCTTTTAAGTCAAGGTGATTTATACATTTGAAAGTTTCTTATTATTTTTCCTCCCAAGAATTATGAAACATACCAGTAGGATGAAATTGTAGTTACTCTTTAGAATAATCTCTGGAAGGAATTTGAGGCACCTCTGTGTGCATGATAACTGTGGGAAAGAGTACTAAATTTGGAGTCAGAAGATCTGAGTTCAAATATAGGCTCTGCTATTTAGTACCTACATGACCCTAGGCAAATCGCTTGACCTCTGAGCCTCAGTTTCTATATCTATAAAAAATGTAAAGGTTAGACTAGATGACCTCATGGGTCCCTTCCAGCCCTAAATCTATGATCCATTTCTCACTAATAAATTACTTCTCTTTAATTTTTCATTTTGCATCTTTCATGCAATCATCTGTCTTTTAGCTTCACACCCATTCAGACACCCCAGTGTTTCTGGTTTCTCTAGTGACTGTATGGTAGTAATCTAGTGGTTCATGGCAAATGCCTCTTTGGTTTCTAGAATACAATTCCTTCAGTGATGTCTTTATGGTACATTTTTCTCCTCGGAAACATCACATTAAACAAATATAACCCATTGAAAATAAAGTGTACATAGTTTTGGTCCTTGGTGCACAATTTTTAGTAGAAGCAAAAGTTCAATATGTTGGAAATTTTCTCTGTCACATTTTCTGTTCTGGGAATAAAAGAAATGAGTTTATGTTGATATTGAGGAGGATGGGGGTGAAGGAGGGAGTAAGGAAAGCTCTCTGGGTGACTTCTTATGTTTACTTTAAATGTTAGATATTACTGGGGAAAGGGACTCCAATTTAGTGTGTCCAATTTTAGGATCCTGATGAAGGTCGATTTCAGAAAACAATTGGTTCAGTTACAGTTGCCAATGGAAAAATACTTCTTTGCACTGCGGACGGATGATCTCATTGGGGTGAGAATTCCTTCTGCCCAGGCAGAGTTCAATCTGCTTACAACTTAGTACCTGCAAGCATTGCCCAGGCCCCTTCACCAGAAAGGGCAAATGATCCATTTTGCCCATGGGTTAAACAATCAGTAACTGAAAGAGGGGGGATATGAACCCAGGCCTTCCTGATGCCAGCTCCAGCACTACCACAATGCCACCAGTAAGGGAATAATAGGATTGAAAATTTTTTTTCACATAAGGGACTAGATGGTTGTCAGCTGCCATCTTATTTTCTCATAGAAAAAACAAATAGTTAAAATTCTTTAAAGTATGAGAAAGAACAAAACTGAGGAAACCAATTTATATGCTGTATATATTCTTACTTGTATATCAGTTACACTAAGAAAAAAAATTTCACAGAAGCGTTCCCAAATATAAACATTTTAGTCACTTTGTTTGTAAGGATTTAATATTGTTTTATATTGCTTTTTAAGTCAATTTCTCATATTGCCATCAAGCCCAAAGTAATTTTATTCTGAAGTATGAATTACAAAACCAGCCAAATTGTAGTCAGTAATTTATGTGTAGTGGATTCTCTTTCTATATTCGGTTTTCTACCTGCTTGAAAGATGAATCACTTTCTTCTGCTTTAGCATCATTCTTCTTTGCTCCGGAGAATCAGCCACCTTGTCACCTCGATCATGTTTCTGTCCTGTTTCTCTAGAGATGGAAGCTGCACATCTCTCGAAAGTCCCACAATTCCTAGCTTGGCAGTCATTTTCAGTTTTCTCATTGTGAATGGCACTACTCTCTCAGTGCTGTGGCCTCACAACCTACGTGGATCATTTTCAGCTTATCTCCCTAGCCAATCTGATACCAAATCCTACCCATCCAATACACGCCAGCAAGCATCAGAAGTGACCTGTTGTATGTAAAGCATCATGCTAGATGCTGAAGAAGCAAAGACAAAATATTCAGCCCCTGCCCTCCCGGAGCTTAAGTTGATGCGGCATATAAACAGGTAAGTAGATGCGTGATAATTTGAGGATATACCACTAACAACTAGGGAGATTAGGAAAGACTTACTAAAAAGCGGCAAGTGAGTTAGGGGATAAGAATGAGTGGCCAGGTGGACAGTGAATAAGAGGACCCAGGCCTGGAGTGAAGAAGACCCAAGTTCAAATATGGCATCAGACACTAGTTGTGTGACCTTTGGGGGGGGGGGGGCAGCTGTTTGCCTCAGTTTCCTCATCTGTGACATGGGGATAATAGCACCTACTCTCAAGGTTGTGAGAATCAAATGGGATGTTTTAAAGTGCTTAGCATAGTATCTGACACATAGTAGACACTATATAAATGTTGGTTACTATTATTATTATATTCTAGGCATAGAGGACAGTCTGTACAAAGACATAGAGACCTTTTCTCCTTCCAAAAATCTTGATCCTGTGGTTAGCCTATTCAGCATCACCTTGTAAGTACCTTGGCCCCTTGTCCTAATGCTACCCATCCTTTATCAAACCTTTTATTGAGATTCTGGACTCCAAAACACTTACTTACTCTTTGCCTTCAGCCCCACAGGCATGCTGGAGGAGTCAGTCCCACAAACATGCCTGGGTCCACCACAGATTTGTTTTGTGATTTCAGCTGGGTTCTCTTGGTTGCCCACCAGTCCATTTCCTCTGAGTCTTCAGGGGATAGTCAACTATAGCTGTGCTGTTCCCGGCCCTGCAGCCCCAGATGGTTTGACCCCCAGTATGGGACCCTCTCCTCACTGGTGGTGATGGATACCCTGCCCAGCACCTGTGCAGGAGGCAGGCTGGAGCTGGCCAGTGCCACAGAGCTTCCAATGACTTCCAGTGGTTGCCAATCTTCTTTGAATCTTGCATTCGCCAATTTTCTTCGGGTCCCTCCAGCTTCCAGCTTGAAGAGTGAAGATGGATGAGGCCAACCCCACTTCAGGATGCAGAAATGGAACATGATGATGGAGACTGCCAGTTCCAGAAGTCCAAAAAGACTCAGCCTCTCGAAAGGTTCAGGGCAGGGCATCCACCTCTACCAGTGAGGAGAAGGCCCCATGCCATGGGTTTTGGGATGGGGTTACATTAAAATACCGTAAAACATTATTTAAAAATAAATGGTGTATGCAGGTACTCCACAATTCTCTTGTATAATCGGCAGAGGATCTCCTCACGTACCTCAATGAAGAATGACAACATCCTTCAGAAACCCTCTCTTTTCCTCAATTTAGCACTCCAAATTTCACTCTTCTTTCTTTTGTTGAGTAAAAATGTAGAACATGGGGGATGTGACTGATGGGCAGAGGAATATTTGTATGAATGTACACCAACACATACATTTAAGCTCCCTACTATCAGCACAGGGATTGGGGTGGAAAGGAAGACTGTGAACCAGGCACTGCATTCCTTGAGGAACGTGAGAAAACACCCAAGGAGCTAACAGATAACGAGCCACCAGGAGATACAGGGTAACAGATCTGGATGGAGTGGCTGCTGAATGACGACAACAGGCCTGAAGGTGATTGAGAAGAGAGAAAGGAGATGTATGCTTACTCTTCCTCCGGCTCCAGTGTGTCAATAGATGTGGAAGAAAAAAGATCAAGTAGTGGTGAGGGCAGCCAGGAATGAAACGATCTTCTGGGGAAGAATCTAGGTTTCTGTGAGTACACGATGATGGGAAGGAGTATGAAAGGAAAAGTTGTAATACAAAAAGGCAGGAATTCTAAAAAGGACACAATACTAGTGGAGGGGAAAATGGGTGGAGGGCTAACTGGTTAGGGATGAGAAAACTGGAAGTGGTAGACTTGATATGACTCACATTAAGAAAGTCAAGTTGAAGTTTGTTAGCAACGATGGACACATAGTACCATTTGACTAAGGATGTCAGAGTTCATTAATTTAGGAGACCAATGAGGGAGCTGGCAAAAAGCTGCCGTCCCTATACGTCCACCCTCAAAATTGGACTTCAGACACTTTATGTAGTAACCCATTACTCTCCTTTCCTTCTCTAGCTCAATAACTATGATCAGATCAACCCACCAGGGCCTCCAGAAAAGGAGTGTCAATTGCTCCACTCAGTGAATTTCCAGACCTTAACTCCCTCATACGAGTTCTCTCCCATTATAATGTAAACTCCTTGAGAGCAAAGACTATTTGGCATGTGCATCGCCATTGCTTAGCACAATACTTAGCAAGGAGTAACTGCTTAATAAATTAAATTTGATTCACTGAAGCTTCACAGGTGAAGAGGAATGCCTTTCTTACTGTTCAACCCAGGATACTTCCCTCTTATCTTTGCAGTAACTGTCTCCAGTGCCTAGAATGCACTCCCTCCTTCCCTCCCACTTATGGATACCCAGCCCTTTTTTCCTTCAAGACTCGGCTGTAGCTCCCTCTTCTACATGAAGCCTTTCCCGATTTCCCCGAGTTGCTAATGTCCTCCCTCTCCAAACTACCCTCTATTCTGCACATTCTTGCATACATACATACATGCTCTCTCTCCCAATAGAATCTGAGTTTCTTGAGTTTCTTTTTGTATCCCAGTGCTTACCACAGTGCCTGGCTCATAGTAGGTGCTTAATAAATGCTTGATCTAGACATAGGTGCAGATAGGAGGCAGAATGTTATCTATGGGGAACATTAAATAGGCCATTTCTTTCTCAACTACACTCTTTTGTCACATTACTCCCCAGCTTAAAAACCTACAGGGATTTCCTATCTCATAACATCATATTCTAATTCCTCATTCTAACATTCAAGAATCTCCCCTCTTCATTAATTTCCTATACTAACTACCTCCCCGCCCTCATTCTAACAACTATTCTGACGATATACCTATATACACAGGACTTGATTATACCAATTTCTATCCTTAAAATTTGTTGCACTCAACTTGGTATGCACTTCTCCATTGGTCACCTGTTAAATTAACTCATGGGTCTCTCTCTCCTTCACAACCCAATTCATAAATGAACTACCCCAAGAAGCTTTCTATGCTCAGACCATTGTTTGTTTGCCACTGTGGCTCATACCGTCCCTATAGTATTTAAATATTCCATTGCTATTAGGTCACTGATCCATCCTATCAGTACTCCCATGAGTATCCCCACCCCCACCCCAAGATCATCTAAGGTATACTTAGTGAAAGGCTTTGGAGAGCCTAATTCTGATTTGGAAAAATGGGGAAACAAAACCTTGAAAGTAGCAACAAAGCAATTTGAAGACCAACTGTAATCAGTTTTTATGAAGACACTATTAGAATAGTTTAGGCATCTTAGCTTAAACTTGGGGTCAAAGGCTTGGGTTGTTAAGAGTAAAAAGCAATAATGGGATGTGCAAAAATGTGAAAATTCCTTACTACCTGTCTTTATCACTGAAGAGTTTATTTTTGGCATTCTATTTGACTCAAGATTGAGAGATATACAGGACCCTCAGCTCCTTAATGTTAAGATCATCTAATCCAATACCTCTTTTTACAAAGAGGGAATGCAGGCCAGAGGGCTAAGTATCTTACCCTTAAATCCACATGAAGTAGCGAAGGTAGGAGTCATTCAGTACTCTCCCCACTAACTACATCCTATCATTTCAGTACATTGAGTTTTTTCCTTTTGGTATTGTCACTGCCCACTTTTCCCCGTCCTTCAAAATGACCTTGGCTTCTCCCCTATATTTTATTCTCAAAATGACACTTTTTAGGGTTGCACAGAATCTTCTATTAGAACAAACGAGAACAGTTGTGGCATGTTTGGAATTTAGGGTGTGAAGAATGCAATAGAATTGGGAATCAAGCTCCCTCTCCTCCCATGGTCTTTCCTACTGCAGGTGCTAAGCTCCTTCACCTAAGCCTCAGGTGATGCTTCCTTTACCAAATGGCTAAATGGAAGAAGGAGAGAAATAGCCTGGGAGAGGAGACACAGTGCTGCTGCCTCTAATCCAGTCTCTGACACTTCCCAGCTGTGTGACATTGGGCACCTGGAGGACAAGGGGCTTGGATGGACTCGATGATCTCAAAGATCTCCAGAGCCATGATGCTATGGTCATATTCAGCACTGCAACATGCAATAGCTTAACTTTTAATTTGATGCTCAGCATTTTCTAGTTATAACCTAGATCGTCCCTGAGACACAACTAAAACCACGTCCAATTTCACGTGCCTAGTAGAAACTAGGACCACAGTGCAGTGGCTTCATGCTACTACTAATGATCAAAATAGAAGAATGCAGGCTCTGAGGTCTGCAGCCCTCCCTCCCCATCATCTTCCCAACAGTTAATGTTTATTCTCTGATACTTTACAATTTACAAAACACTTTTCATGAATTCTCTCATTTGACAGGCACAAAACCTCTCTAAAACAGAACATGGATTATCCACATTTTACTGGTAAGGAAACTACTAGGCGGACAGAGATTAAGTGACATAAGTTCATAGGACTTGCAATCCTGCCTCAAGACAAAACCTGTACATGGTACACACTATTTTTCATGGTATGTGGTTTTTCACTTTTTTTTCTAGTTTGGGGTGAGTCGGTTGTTGAGAAAATAAGTTACACAGACAATAGAAAGTGAAATTCTTTGAATTTTATAAATGAGAAAACTGCCAGTAATTAACTTGGACAATAGCATTAAGTAGAGTTTTTCATTTAACAAAATAACATCTAGGAAAAAAGCAACGTATAGAAAAAGGAAGGAGTTAAGCCAAATGATGAGTAAGACTCCGAAGGAAGTTGGTATACAACCGAAGACTAAAAAATTAAAATAATGAAAATTTGTTTATAGGTTAGTTTAAAATACAAGTAATAATTTTTATTAATATGAGTATAAAAGAAATTAAGTCAGTTTTCTGCCCAAAACTGTAAAAGCCACTGAAACAGAAAAAAATGAAAAATTTTAAAACACTGATTTTTTTTTTTAAAAAAAAATTCGTCTCATTTCTTAGTTGTCTTCTTCACCAAGAAGAGGTATAAGATTTAGTTTTGTTTTTTCCAAAGCTGCTGTTTTAGCTCGTCTTGGTAGTCTCTCCTTCATCTCTGTAACTGGTTCTGTTACTTCCTGGTCACTAAAAAAGAATATGAAATTCATCAATATAATTATAAACTTTAAAACGTTTCATTCATATTGAAAATTTCTAAACCTCCATGCTGTTACAAAGCACTTTTCTATAACTCATCTTAATTAAATGCAATTAATTTAGCCACAGGACTAAAGTCTCTGTAATACTAGTGAGACTACACCGACACTGTCCCTAATCTTGTTACCCAACAGAGTATTTACTATACAGAAAAACTAATTTAGATGTTTGTTGGAAACAGCTCAGTTTTGCTTTTATGTCAAAAGGGATATGGATATAATTTCACTTCAAAAAGTCTCAAACCACCAAGACTGGTTTAACATCTGCAAAGAAATAAACAGAAAAATTACCATTCTTTCAGAAGGAATATTAGAAATGCTAGCTAAATGTTCATGTCTCATATATTTTATGTTATTCCAATAATCAGGTTCTTTAAAAAGGCCACTTTCACCTGAGTTTAGTGAACATTGACAGGAAAATGATTTTCTGGAAGCACAAACAGATGTAGTTAGCGGGAATGACTATTCCAACTAACTTTTATCTGAAATGACGAGCTGCAGTCTTTTTACAGAGACCAAAAGTCTCTTTTCTAGTTATTCTGCCTCTTTCTTCTTCTGGAAAATGGGGGTAGTTGTAGTACCTACTTCTCAGAATTACTGTGAGAATCAGAAGAGATAATGTATACAAAGCACTCTGCAAACCTGGAAGAGTTATGTGATAGCTATTGATATCATTGTTAGAATCTAAACAAATCCCAAACTCAGGAAAAGTGAGCTTATAGTTTCTGCTGGCTGTTTCATTTTGGAATATATAGTTAGATGAAGATATGAAAATAAACACCAAACCAGAGAACAATAGCTCAACACAGAACCTTACAGAAAATGCTGTTAATTGCAGAGCCCATGGGAGGGAGGGGGACAAAAAGGTATAACAGAGTCAACTGACCTTGAACACA